GACGCAGACGCAGACGCAGACGCAGACGCAGACGCAGACGACGCCGCAGACGCAGCAGACGCAGACGCAGGCGACGCAGACGCAGACGACGCAGACGCAGACGCAGACGCAGACGCAGACGCAGACGCAGACGCAGACGCAGACGCAGACGCAGACGCAGGCGCAGGCGCAGACGCAGACGCAGACGCAGACGCAGACGCAGACGCAGACGCAGACGCAGACGCAGACGCAGACGCAGACGCAGACGCAGACGCAGACGCAGACGCAGACGCAGACGCAGACGCAGACGCAGACGCAGACGCATACGCAGACGCAGACGCAGACGCAGACGCAGACGCAGACGCAGACGCAGACGCAGACGCAGACGCAGACGCAGACGCAGACGCAGACGCAGACGCAGACGCAGACGCAGACGCAGACGCAGACGCAGACGCAGACGCAGACGCAGACACAGACACAGACACAGACACAGACACAGACGCAGACGCAGACGCAGACGCAGACGCAGACGCAGACGCAGACGCAGACGCCGACGCAGACGCAGACGCAGACGCAGACGCAGACGCAGACGCAGACGCAGACGCAGACGCAGACGCAGACGCAGACGCAGACGCAGACGCAGACGCAGACGCAGACGCAGATGCAGAGGCAGACGCAGACGCAGACGCAGACGCAGACGCAGACGCAGACGCAGAAGCAGACGCAGACGCAGACGCAGACGCAGACGCAGACACAGACGCAGACGCAGACGCAGACGCAGACGCAGACGCAGACGCAGACGCAGACGCAGACGCAGACGCAGACGCAGACGCAGACGCAGACGCAGACGCAGACGCAGACGCAGACGCAGACGCAGACCCCGACGCAGACGCAGACGCAGACGCAGACGCAGACGCAGACGCAGACGCAGACGCAGACGCAGACGCAGACGCAGACGCAGACGCAGACGCAGACGCAGACGCAGACGCAGACGCAGACGCAGACGCAGACGCAGACGCAGACGCAGACGCAGACGCAGACGCAGACGCAGACGCAGACGCAGACGCAGACGCAGACGCAGACGCAGACGCAGACGCAGACGCAGACGCAGACGCAGACGCGCACGCGCACGCGCACGCGCACGCGCACGCAGACACCCAGCCACAACAGACAATGTTGACACTCGATTAGTAAAGGGTACCGGAATAATAGAAAGTTTTTTTCCGTATTCTGGTTCACACCCATTGTTTAAGGGTACCAGAATAATAGAAAGTTTTCTTGGCCAGGGGGAAAATTCAATAAAAACTCCACAAAGCAAATTTAATTAAAAAACCATCCCCCCCCCCCAAACTCTGAATCTCCTTCAGCAACAAGCTGAAGATTGTGTACCTCAGAAATTTGAAAACCATCCCCAGCCCTGAAACTGCAAA